TAAGTACACCAAGCACCAGAGCGATGGGCTCCTATATACAGATTCCCTACGAGGTTGCCTGGTACCTGGCAGCTGTCATCCTGCTCTGGCACCTAGTGGGCCTCATGAAACACAGATTCACATTTTTTACCTCCACCATCAGCTCAGCAAGCAGCAGCAATTTCTGTACTGGTGGGCAGTCCTGTCATAGAGCAGTGAACCAAGCCTTCTGACCCTTAGGGAGGAATTTGAATGCCACAGTGACAACCCTGTCCTAGAAGTCACAATGGTCTCTGGAGATCTGGGGTGTTTGCTTCTCTAAACCACAGATCATACTAGCTTCTAGCCCTGGCCTCCTTGTCCTTGAGACTGCTGTCTGTGGTGTATCCCTCCAGAACTACTGCTTGAGGCTCATAGGAGCCCAAGCCTTGCAGAATGGGGGAGCTTGAGACTTCCTCCCCGATACATCCCCTAACCCCGTGAGTCTAGACTACAGAAACCAACCCAACTGCTCTACACCCAGCAGTGCCAGGCTTTCTAGAAGCAGAGCTTGGTGGTCTGCTGATTCGGGGACAGGTAGTGATAATTGTGTTCTGGCCTCCTGCAAGTTTGGGTGGTGCCTCCCTGGGTGTTAGGATCACAGTCCTATGCTTTTCCCTGCTGGTCCCTGAAAGGCAGGGTGGGAAGTACAGACAGGAGCACTGCCTGCTCTGACTTGGCCTTGCCATTTGACAGCTGTGTAGCCTCAATTTTTAACCTCTGCGGCTTCTAGAAGCTGAATTAAGACTTCTCCGTTTGGTGGTACACAGTAGGAGCTTACTGTTTATTTCTTTGGGTTTTTGTTCTGTTGCTTTTTAATATTCACCTGGTTCGATGTTTGTAGTACTGACATGGAGCATGCTAGGCAGACATTTCCCCAGAATCCCTTGCCCCGTCTGCCCCCTCTTCCCCCAAGGTAGCCATTCCCAGAGCCCTTTTCAGGAACATTAGAATTTTCAGCAAGAAGGAAACCTAGGGCTCGGCCCAAGCTGCCCACAAAGTAGTGGTAGTTAAAACTGTTGAGACATCTAACAGGATTTGATGACAAAAACCAGCTACAGAGCCCTGATGCACCAAAGTCAGTGGCTGGAAAGAATGAGAAACAGAGAAATGAGGGTTAGGGTTAGGGTTAGTGATGACAGGTAGCATCAGACAGCATCACTCAGCCCTGCAGCCAGCAGCTTGGTCCTCACAGCTGGGGCCACTGCTTAGACTGCTTCTCTTCTCAAAGAAAGCCCCTCCCAGCAGGAAACATCCGGACCGGAAACCAGCTGAAATCACCCGTAGCCCCTGTCCCTGAACTTCACAGCTGCTGCCTTACCTATCAGATAAACTAGAGAAGAGAGGGACCCACAGGCTCCCAGCCCATTCCTCTCAGGCTCTGGGGCCATCTCCCCATAGTCCCTGCCCCTGCCCAGCCTTGTCTCCAAGAAGTAGAGTCACCTTATACCTTGGAAGGTTACTCTTTAGAGCTATGACCTGAGCCCAAGAACCCCACTCCTGCCTAAGCAAGTCCTCTCTCCTCTTGACCCTGTCAGTGTCTTAGGGTCACTGAGCCCAACAAGACTACCCTAGAAATTGCCACCTTCATTGCTGGGATCAGAAGAGTTCACAGAGGCCGCCAGCGAACAGCATAGCAGTACCGTGGCACAGCAGTACAGCTGATACCCTGTCTCAGGGTCCTTAAACATGTCCCATTTTTTCCCCCTGTGCAAAACTGAACTGTCGCTCATTTGCAGGTTTTCCCCCGCCTGTGACAGTGTCCAGACCTGAGTCTCAGTGAGCCACACCCAGAAATTCTCTTGGTGAGTTCTCCTCTTCAGGATTCTTACCAAATAGAACTGGTGTGAGAGTGGAGAGGTACAGAGGTTGTGGCACCTAATTAGGATTCTTTCTAAAACCAAACAGTATAGCTGGGGATGTAGCTCAGTTGGTTAAGTGCTTGCTGCGCATACAAGAGGGCCTAGGTCCAGTCTCCAGCACCATATAAACTGGGCGCGGTGGCTCATGCCTATAATTCTAGCATTCAGGAAGTAGAGGCAGGAGAATCACAAGTTCAGAATCATCTCTGGCCAGCCTGGGCTATGTGAAACCCTATCTCCCAAAAGAAAAATCAATAGTAATTTTTTGGTTTTGAGACAGGGTCTCGCTGTGTGGTCTATGCTGGCCTCAAACTTGTGATCCTTCTGCCACAGCCTCACCTCCTGAGTGCTGAAATTACAGGCATGTGCCACCACTTGAAAATCACAAACAGCATTTGTTATTTTTTATTGTTGTTAATTAACAGTTTGAATGCATGAAGTGTGTGTTGGATGCACTGTGCTGTGGCACATACGTGGCGGTCAGAGGACAACTTTGTGGAGTCAGTACTCCTTCCACCTTTATGTAGGTTGTGGGGATTGAACTTGGGTCATCGGGCTTGCAAGGCAAGCACTTTTATCTGCTGAGCCATCTCACCAGTAGCCCCATCAACAGGATTTTTAATGACTCACATGTTCTACATTTTGAGGTTTTAGGTAGGTTTTTTTTTTTTTTCATCCTACTGTGCCTCCATTTCCTTCTGTATAAATGGGAAGGATGAATATCTGTCTCCGGAGGTTAAAGACAAAGAGGGGGAAAACGCTTGGCATAGAGCAGTTATCCACATGCTCCCTGTTTTTGGAACTCCAGTGAGGAGCACAGAGAATCCCCGGACTCTAGGGTAGGGCCTGCCGAGAGAAGCTGTGTGCTGGACATAGTTCCTGGGCAAGAAAGCAGCTACAGGTGCAGAGGAAGACTGCCCCAGGCTTGTGTGGTGTGGACTGAGAGGCTCCTGAGGAGGGCAGACTGGCCGTCCACCAGGGCTTCCCATCTCTTTCCTAAACAAGGGCGCCGGGGAGTCAGAACTGTAACTTACCCAAAGCTGAAAAGAAATTTTGGAGTTGTGCAACACATTCTTCATAAAAGGAGAAAGTGAACTTTTCTCTTTGAAGAAAACCAGTTGTGACGGGTGGCGGGGGGAGGCAGGAATTGATTCCAAATGGGATCATGTTTTATTCAGAATTTGTGCTGCCAGTAGGTAAGGCCAGAACCCAGTGACAGGATGGGAAAGTGGGACACCCCAACTTCAAACTTCATGCATTCTGCCATGAGCTCTGCCCACTTCACTGAGCTCTGCTCCCAGGGACCTCTAATGGCCCTGGATTGCAAACATAGTTAAAAATTAACAGGCTGACAAAATTAAATATGG